GAAACTAAAATAACTCCATTACTTAATGTAAGAATGGTCATCGAGGAAATAAAAGAGGAATTTAAAAAAGTCCTGGAAGTCAATGAAAATGAAAACCACCTAACTGAACCTAGTGGACCCAGCTAAGGCAGTCTGAGAGAAAGTTTAAGCCGATGGAGTCTGCATATATTAAAAAGGATCTGAAAAGATCCCAATCAATGACCTAATTGGAATACATCTCAAAACTCGTAGAAAACAAGAACAAGCAATCCCAAAACAAATAGAAGAGAGAAATAATAAAAATAAGAGCTGAAATCAAATGAATAGAAACCAAAAAACCATACAAAACATTAATGAAACAACAAAGTTGTTCTTTGAAAAAATTAAACAAGATCAATTAGACCCTGCAAACACGAAAAAGTGAGGAGAGAAAAAACCCAATAGACTTACAATTAGGATCTGCAAAGGAAGATAACAACAACCACCAATGGAAGCGGAAATCTCAAGACTACTTTGAGAACCTATATTCAAATAAATTTGGAAAAATCTTTAAAAAATGGGACAGATTTCTAGCATACATGATGATCATCCAAAAACTGAACCAAGAGGAAATTAATCATCTGAATAGATCTATTAACACAAAATGAAATTGAAGCAGCAACCAAGAGTTCTCCCCAAAAGAAAAGTTCCAGGCCTGATCGGATTCTCTGCTGATTCTATCAGACCTTTAAAGAAAGAACTGATACAACCCTCCTTAAACCTGTTCCACGAAATAGAAAGGGAGGGAAAACGGCCTAACACATTTTTGAACCAGTATACACTTATCCCAAAACCAGCAAAGACACCTCCAAAAAGGAAACTACAGGCCAATCTCCTTAATGAACATTGATGCAAAAATCCTCAACAACTAATGGCCAAACTGAATTCAACCAACACATCAGAAACAAACATATCACCGGATGGGACCAAGTAGGACGTTCATCCCAGGGGATTTTGCAGGGTGGTTCAACATTACGAATCAAATAAATGTAATAAACCCACAATTAACAGAAGCAAAGACAAAAACCCACTTCGATTCATCTCAATAGATGCAGAAGAAAAGCGCTTGATAAGATCCAACATCATTTTCATGATAAAGCTCTAGAAAGAACTAGAAATAGAAGGAAGACTTCAACATTATAAAAAGCTATTATGACATACTACAGCCAGGCATTATACTAATGGAGAAAAAACTTGAAACCTCCTCAAAATCAGAACCAGGGACAAGGATGCCCACTATCTCCATCCTCTTCAAACATTAGTACTGGAGATTCCTAGCCAGAGCAATTAGGCGCAAGAAGAAGAAATAAAAGGAATACAAATAGGTAAGAAACTGTCAAAATATCCTATTTGCAGATTGACACTGATTCCTATACCTAAAGACCCAAAAAACTCTACTCAGAAGACTTCTAGACATCATCAATAGCTACAGCAAAGTAGTAGATAAAATCAACATAGAAAATTCATTAGCATTTCTATACACTAACATGAGCAAACTGAAAAAGAATGTATGATTCCAACAATCCTCAAAAAAATCAAAATACCTAGGTGTGAAACCTAACAAAGATGTGAAGACCTCTACCAAGGAAACTATACACTTCTGAAGAAAGAGATTGAGGAAGACTATAGAAAGTGGAGAGATCTCCATGCTCATGGATTGGTAGAATCAACATAGTAAAAATGTCGATACTCCAAAAGTAATCTACATGTTTAATGCAATTCCCATCAAAATTCCAATGACATTCATTAAGAGATTAAAAATCTACTGTTAAATTTATATGGAAACACAAGAGGCACGAATAGCCAAGCAATAGCTCAGTCAAAGAACAATGCAGGAGGTATCACGAATACCTGACTTCAAAACTATATTACAAGCAATACCAAATAAAAACAGCATGGTACTGGCACAAAAACAGACATGAAGACCATGGAACAGAATAGAGGACCCAGATATGAAGCCACACAACTATAACCAACTTGTCTTTGACAAAGGAGCTAAAAATATACGATGGAAAAATAGCAGCCTCTTCAAAAAAACTGCTGGGAAAACTGGTTAGCAGTCCTGCAAAAACTGAAACTAGTCCATGTATATCACCCTATACCAAGATTAACTCAAAATGGATCAAGGATCTTAATATCAGACCCACAAAACTCTAAAGTTGTACAGGAAAGAGTAGGAAATACTCTGGAGAGTAGGTATAGGTAAGAACTTTCCAATGAAACCCCAGCAGAGCACAGCAACTAAGAGATAGCATAGATAAATGGGACCTCATAAAGCTAAAAAGCTTCTGTTCATCAAAAGAAATGTCTCTAAACTGAAGAGAACACCCACAGAGTGGGAGAAAATATTTGCCAGCTACACATCAGACAAAGGACTGATAACCAGAATATAAGGGAACTTAAAAAAACTAATTCTCCCAAAACTAATGAACCAATAAAGAAATGGGCAAGTGAACTAAACAGAACTTTCTCAAAAGAAGAAATTCAAATGGCCAAAAAACACATGAAAAAATGCTCACCATCTCTAGCAATAAAGGAAATGCAAATTAAAACCACGCTAAGATTCCACCTCACCCCTGTTAGAATAGCCATCATCAGCAACACCACCAACAACAGGTTTTGAGGATCGGGAAAAAGGAACCCTCTTACACTGTTGGTGGGAATGTAAACTAGTACAACCACTCTGGAAAAAATTGGGGACTACTTAAAAAGCTGGACATGATCTACCATTTGATCCAGCAATACCACTCTTGGATATACCCAAAAGACTGTGACAACGGTTACTCCAGAGGCACCTGCACCCATGTTTATTGCGCACTATTCACAATAGCCAAGTTATGAAACAGCCAAGATGCCCCACCACTGACGAATGGATTAAGAAAATGTGGTATCTATACACAATGGAATTTTATGCAGCCATGAAGAAGAACAAAATGTTATCATTCGCTGGTAAATGGATGGAATTGAAGAACATCATTTGAGTGAGGTTAGCCTGGCCCAAAGACCAAAAATGTATGTTCTCCCTCTATGTGGACATTAGATCAAGGGCAAACACACAAGGGATTGGACTTGAGCACATGATAAAAAGCGAGAGCACACAAGGGAGGGTGAGATATAAGACACCTAAAATTAGCTAGCATTTGTTGCCCTTAACGCAAAGAAACTAAAGCAGATACCTTAAAAGCAACTGAGGCCAATAGGAAAAGGGACCAGGAACTAGAGAAAAGGTGAGATCAAAAAGAATTAACTAGAAGGTAACACACAGCATAGGAAATCAATGTGAGTCAATGCCCTGTATAGCTATCCTTATCTCAACCAGCAAAAACCCTTTTCCTTCCTATTATTTTTTATACTCTCTCTACAACAAATTAGAAATAAGGGCAAAAAGGTTCTGCTGGTATTGAGGGTGGGGTAGAGGAGGGGGTGAAGTGGGTGGTAGGGGGGGGGGCCAGGGAGAAATGACCCAAGCCTTGTAGCACATATGAATAATAAAAGAAAAAAAAATTCCTTTTATTAAACACCGACTAGTAGAGAAAGAAGCCTATAAAAAAATAGTCCCGCAACACTATCATTTTTGTGCATTTGCCTCTTTTTAATTGGGGCTTTTGATGGCTGTTTCATGATCATCGCACATTTACTGAATATGTACTGTATGTAAAAGCAAGAAGAGGTAGAACAAAAGATTCAGAGAAAGATTAGGGGCATGCACCATAAACTCTCTCAAGTTCCTTTTTTTTTTCTTTCTTAACATCTCCCAGTACTAGACAGCCTTTTTTGTTTGAGACAAAACAGAAAATCTTGTTTCAGTTAACCAAAATCAAGGCTCATGAGCAAAGTGAGCTTCTGATTCCCCATCTGTAATAATAGTATAGTTAACTGTGATGGATCACATCGATGTCATTAAATTGTTATTTTTTTTATATCCACATCCTTCATCACATTCCTTTATAATTGCCTTCACCCTCTAGTGTCGGACATAGAAATGTAATTTACTTTGGCCAGAGGAATTTTATTAGGCCTGATGATAGCAAAGGTTTGATCTTTGTTGCGCTGAGCTTGCTCTCTTCTCTTTCTGTCATTCTCATGTGAAATGCTTACTCAAAGTAGCCTAGTACACCAAAAAGAAGAGAATGGAAGGCATGCAAAACATTATCTGGAGGACTTCTGACTAGAAACCAACACCAAATTAGCCCAAACTATGTCAGCTGACTCTCAGCCCAATCCAACAAACCCTGTGGGCAAGGAAAAAAATCCTTACTATTCTTACCACTGGCTCTTTGGAATTCTTGTTGTCTATCTATGGTTAACTAATGTAACAACATATTTTTTAGACAATTAAGATGTTATGTGTAAGGTGAGGGTGCTTCATAAATGATATTTTCTAGAAAAGGTAATGAAGGGAACAACTCAAGAAAGAATGGAAAGCTTTGGCAAAGCACTTTGGCATTCTAAAATTAAAAGATCATCACTTATCACTCATCTCTATCAACGGTATTCTTTGGAAAAATATTAGACTTTTGTGAGGTGTGTTTTCCTCATTTATAAGTTGAGGATGAAAATGGTATATATCTCATAATATTTTAAATATTTTAAATATATTTTAAATATTTAAATATTTGAAAGGTCTAGTGAGATTTTACTTAGCCAAAATGTGGCACATAGCTTTCAATAAATATTGGCTTTTCACAGTGATTACCTTTATTATTGTCATTATTATTGTATTATTAATCAATGATATTTCAGTAAGTACTTTAGGAATAAAGAGAGTGTTCTATTTCAAAAAAAAAAGAATTTTGTAGATAGCCATAGAAATGTTAAAAACATTATTTGAAATAATTCTTCATTTGGCTTCCTTTAAATCAGACTTTTTTTTTTTTTCCAGTACTGGAGATCAAATCCAGGGCCTTGTGCATGCTAGGCAAGTACTCTTGTCACTGACTGCTACATCCGCAACCCTAAGTCATGTTTGTTATTTGTCTTACATGAAACCGTGGATAAATTGCTTCCTGAAATGGTCCCGGTTATGTGAGCTGCTATTCTCTGAGGTCTTGTTTCTCTTGCTGGGAAAGAGCTACTTTGTCGTTTTTCTAAAAGAGAGGTGACAAAAAAAATCATCAGCATTTGTCAAATTCTGTTCTCAAAAACACTGCTGTTCCCATCACACATTGGAAGCACCCAGGGCTTCCAAAGTTGATTCTATGGGCTTCATAAAAACAGTCCATATCTTAGTATGACAATCAATCTACTTCAAATTACATTTAATCTGAAAAGTACCTTAGATAGAAAGAATAGCAGTAACATGGATTATAATTTATCAGCATCTTGGAGGTATGGTCCAAATAGAATATAACAAAAGTAAAGATTCTGGCCTCTTTCAAGAAGAGAAAGAAAAAAGAAAACAAAAATTTAAAGACTGTGGATTTGTAATAATCCTGTTGAGTGATGTTCAGTGGGCAAATAACCACGTATTGGCAAATTTCCACTTTGAGTTACTTATAATATAGAAAAAAACTGAAATGGGACCGATTTTTGTCATCTTAATTATCTTTTCTTCTTTACTAGTTACTACGGTTTTTAAAGGAGCAGCAATGCTAACAATTGTCCATGGATGCTACAACTTGTTCCCACAGTCATTCCCACACCCTCCCCTCCACTCCCACAAAAGGAATAGGAATTGACATCAGTCACAATATTCAGTATGTGAGTATATATGTCGCTGATTTACTAGATTACACTAAAAAATAAATTATTGACCAATACCCAAAGTATTTTAGAACAACCTAAAATCCAATAAACTGCTGTCTTTAAAAAAGTCAACTTAAACTTCCCAAGTATGCGTCCATTGATTGTTAAAATAAATTATATTCTTTCAGCAAACATATACTGGCAACAATGAATCACACACACACAAAAAGAATAAAAACTCCCCCAAATATTGGCAAAGACAAGACATTACCCTATGCCTTACAGGGCTACATAGATTAACTGTTGATTCCACTAACCAAGCTCTTAAGGAACTTACATTATTTCATGGAAGATACAAACTCAAACGTGAAAATGTACCTGTGAGAAATAGCAATCAGGGGTACCAGATATGCAGAGGAGGAAAAGATTCATTTATTGGGGGAGATGAGATCAGGGAAGGATTTTGTGAGAAATGGTGCTAAGATCCTTTCAATCACTTAACTCCAATAAACCAAAATGCCCATCATGTCCAGGCACCTTCTAGGAAAGAACAAAAGATTATAGACAAATTCAAGGCAGTCAGAGGTGCAAGGATAAATGTTTAAATAAGATGAAGAAGGGCAGGATTGAACTTACAGAGGTGGAAGAGAGACATTGCAAGACAGCTAAAACAGAGGCCAGAAAGCAGATGAACAAAACACTCCTGGGACATGGTCCAAAAGGAGTTCAGTTTCAGGTTTGAGGGAGGAGCCAAAGCATAGAAGATCTGATATTCGGGTAGGAGATTTGTACTATTACAGGACACAGAGAGACTGAAAAGTATTGTTCAGGAAAACAAAGAGACACATGTTGTGCGCTAAGCCCACTTATGTGAGTAAGGTGTGCTGGATAGAGGGTGAGGGGCTGGAGCTAGCAAGCAGGTTGCCAGGTGATTCTAATTGATCAGGAATGACAAAGTAGGCCTCCATCTAGACTGGCAGCACGAGGAATCAAGAAAGAATGAGATTCATAGAAGAGGAATCAATAAAAATGAGAAATCTCTTTAATCTATCTGGTGTTGGTTATAAATTAAATTCATATTATTAATTTTTTAAAAAAATGAATGCACTAAAAAAAACCAGTAATCTCCTGAAAATGCAACTGAGAACTTGGTAAAACTGTATGGGGAGATGAAGGAAGATGGAGAGAGATGAATGATAGATAGATGAAGATGGGTGGAAGGATGGATAGATGAATGGATAGAAAATCAATGCATAGAAGATTCTTCTAGAAGGTGAAAAAAATTATTCTTTTTGGCCTTCAGTTTCTTACTTATTCAGATTCTAGAAGACCATGAATAGCGCAAAACCTGTTTTTAAGATTTATTGATGTATAATTGTACAAAAATAGTTTTTATGACATTTCATGCATATATACAATGTACTCTAATCATCACCCTCTCTAGCCAATTTCCTCTCCTACAAATCCCTTCTTCTTCCCAAATGTCCTTTCTAATTCATGTCTTTTAAAAAATTTGGATGTCATACAAGAGAAAAAAATGTAGTGTTTGTGTTTCTGAGTCTGGCTTATTTGTTAACCCAAGATCTCCAGTTCCATCTTTTCATGCAAGTGACATAATTCATTCTTTTTTATGATAAAACAATACACCTTGTGTAATATACCACATTTCTTATCCATTCAGCTATTGATGGCACCTAAGCTAATTCCATAACTTGACTATTGTGAATAATGCCATGATAAACATGGTATACAGTTGTCTCTATTGTATGCTGACTTCAGATTCCTTCAGATATGTACCAGGAGTAGCATAGATAGTTCATATGGTAGTTCTATTTTAAGTTTCTTGAGGAACCTCTATACTAATTCCATAGTAGCTGCACTAACTTATATTCCTACCAACAATGAATAAAGATTCTTTTTCCTTGCATCCCTGTCAGCCAGTCTTTATTGTTTTGTTTTGTTTTTAATTTTCTTAATGGTAGCCATTCTGACTAGGGTGAGATAGAATCCCATTGTAGTTTTGATTTGCATTTAAAATGTTAAACATTTAAGAAATGCATTTATTGGCTGTTGTACTTCTCTTGGGAAATATCTCTTCAGTTCATTTTCCATTTATTGAGTGGATATTATTTCTTGGGTACTTAATTTTTTGAGCTCTTTATGTATTCTGGATATTAATCCCTTCTAGAATGAATATCTAGCAAAGATTTTATCCCATTCTTCAGGCTGTGTTTTGCTGGGGTTTTTTTGTTGTTTGTTTTTACTGTATTTTTACAGCAATTGTTTCCTTTGCTGTTCAGAAGCTTTTTAATTTGATGCAATTTCATTGTCAATTCTTGCTCTTATTCCCTGAGCTATTGCAGTACCATTGAGGAAGCCGTGTCTATGCCATATCTTGAAATGTTTTCCCCTGTGTTTTTCTCTAGTAGTTTCAGAGATCTTACACTAAGTCTATCATCCATTTTGAGTTGATTTCTGAACAGGGTGACAGAGAACAATCTAGTTTCAGTCTTCTATATCTGGATATCCAGTTTCCCAGCACATGTGGAAGAGGCTTCCTTTCATGAATTTGCTTGTCATCCTTGTACAGAGGCCATGCTAATCTTTATATCATTCCAATTTAGTATATGTGCTACCAAACAAGCATATTAATTAATCAACTGTTAAGGAGGTGTGAAACTTACAGGATACTGGATACCAAAGGTGGTATGGAGATGCATAGTGCAATTGCACATTAGCTCACAAGGCTGTGATTTCAAGGTTGATGTCCATTCACCTTTAACCTTGACTATTAAATTACTTAGACTTCCCTGCCCCCAACCCTTAACACTTTGTTTTTAAATATTCAATACCTGAATCTAATTTGCATTTGAGGTCATTGCAAGGATATGGGAAAGCATAGTTTTGAAAGCAAAATTTAAAGAGAGGAAATTTCCTACTGGCTACAGCTAATGCCTCCCTGAAAGAAACTTGTGGAATATATGCATTTGATGTCATGGATACATTCTAGTGTACAGAGTAGGGGCTGGGATGTGTTCTCTCCAACACTGTAAAACCATTGTATATCTACTTGCAGTCCATGGATATGGCAGGCCTTATCAGAACATGTGGTATGTCAAACATTCTGATTACCTCTCAGATCCAGACCAGGTTTTGTATTTCATGTGTAGTACAGGAAATGGGGGTTGTCAAGTGATGAAGGGATTAAAAAAAAGTTTCTTTCCTGCCAGGCTGCTGTGTATATTTGGCCATAGGATGGGGAAAGGAGTATTTGCTGAGCCAAAATACCAAAAAATACATTTGCCAAAGAAGCGACAAATTAATTCAGAAAATTTTTATTTTCTTAATCATTTATTTAGTCAAAAATATGCATTTAGAATCTTTTGAGTAGAGAGGTGGTTTGGGCACAACATTGTGTATGCACACATATATCAAATTGTTCACATTGATTTTTTTTTTAATTTGTTTATTTGAGACTGTGCTTCACCATGTAGTTCAAGCTGGACTTGAACTTACTATGTTCCCTAGGCTGACCTTGAACTTTTGATCTTTCTATCTCAGCCTCTGAAGTGCTGGGATTATAGGCATGTACCACAAACACTCAGCAAATCATGTACTTTTAAATGCTTCATTACTTGTTTCATGAATTATAACTCACAAAAATACACATATACACACAGATTTTTTATTATCATATTATTGTTGTAGTGGGAGTGCATTGTGACATTTACAAACATTTACAATAGTGCTTACCATACATCTTAGTTAAATTCACCCCTTCTATCATTCTCCTTTATCCTCTCTACCCCATCCCCATGAAACACTAAAATTACTGCAAATAAGGAAGTGGGGGAGAGAAAGTCAGAATGTACTAGGCCTGAGGCACATCAGACAAGTTTCTGTCTCTTGCAAGCCTTCGATCTAGAAGGGAAGCAGGCATCACACAGGTAAGACAATAAATAAAAATATAAAGAGATGAATAAGTTGTGATAGAAATAATGGGATGCAGGGGAACTTATTAGGAGGGTGTCCAGGAAAGGCCTCCATGACAAGGTGCTGACAAGATGAACCAGGAAGAAATGGGAGAAACCAGAACACAAGAAGCCAGATGGGCTAGAGAAGCCAGCCTGGGCAACAGTGTGGATGGAATAGGCTGCTCCACAAATAGGAAGCTGAGCATTGGGAACCATAGAATGAGTCACATACATGCGGTACAAAGATCATTGGGAAGGATGACAGAGCAAGGGTTTGGGTAAGGAAAGCCTAGTCTGGCTGTGGTCAGAGCAGGAAGATGGGTAAATTGGAGGATCTCATTTTCTATTTCCTGTCATGTTCCAGAAAAGACTTAAGATGGCTTCTTTACAACACATTATAATAAAAAATAAATAAGGGAAGAAAATTGAAGTAAAAGGAAAATTCAAATAGGAAAAAAGAAGATTAAGAAGAAATAAGGTTGTGATCACGTTTGATTCTGAACCTTTCAGCTCTCACGCATGTGTGGAATAGAATCGGTAAGAGGTGAGATGCATGGGAGGGATCAGGCAGGGGAATGGAGAGCTATTCATCCATCATAAAGTTGATTGTAGCAGATTGAAGTAACACCAAAAAATATTACCTTGAGCTGTTGGAGTGGATTCCTCAAAATTCTCAAAGTCATCTGCAAATAATATTGAAAAAAGCTTGTTAAAAGTCCCTAAAAATTTAATCACAATGGTATTGCTTATACCTCTTCTTGCTGCTGTCTAACAGTCACTTCCACAAAGATATCAACCTGAAAGTTCTAAGATGTCCAAGCATGGGTTCACATGGGTAAGGTGGGAGCTGGGGTGAATTTCGAGATGGCTGTCTCTACATTATGATCAAGGGATAGTCCTCGATCTGAGAAATTCTGTCTCTGATGAAGTCTTTGAAAGGTCAGACTATGAGCAACACAGAATGAAGGGCCACCTGCCAAATTAGGTCAGTGGCTGGTGATGTGACAGCCACACCACATCATCCTCTCTGTGAGGGGTCTGTAAGTGTGTGAATATGTGTGAGTTTTGTGCATGGGGTGTAACAGTGCATGGCAGTTTGAAATGTTGGACAGATCCAAGCCTTAAGATAAAAGGTACACTTCCTCTGCCTGATGACACCCATAGTCATACACAGTCATCAAAGTCTGACAATGCTGGCAACACTGTGTCATTCACCACTTGTGAGAATGTGGGCTGAGGCCTGCTTCAACGTAAGTTCCATTACCTTTACTAAGCACTAGTAAGCCCAGTAAGGGAGCAGAGTCTGTCTTGGTATATTCATGACTCTAAACCCCACATTCAGCTTGGTCACTGCTGAGGGCTTGGGCCGTCACTGGCCTCCTTTCCCCATCAATATACTAATTTGTGTGTGTCAGAAATGTGCCTCTTCTGTACTCCCACCCTAAAGTAGAAATACTCTCCTCTTTACTCTGTCTCATGCCCCTGAGGGTGGGGCACTGGCTAGTGTCAGTTCCATGGACTCTGGAGGAGAAAGAAAGTGAGAATGGAAGTGAGTATCCTTCTCCCCTGTCTCTCATTTCTCTTTCTCTCTTTTCCTCTTTTTCCTTTTTTTCTCTTATTTTGAGACAGGAAGGAAGGAAAGAAAAGAGGGAGGAGGAAAGAGGAGGAGAAGAGAAAAAGGAAGAGGGGAAAAGGAAGGGGGAGGGAAAGAAAGGCATTCCTACAGAAGGGAGCAATGAAAGAGAGACTACTAGACAGATAACTAGCTCTGTGAGACTGCTCAGATTACTACCTGAATCTGAACTTCAGTTTCTTCATGGCTTAACAGAGTATCTATGAGGGCAATGACTCCTCCCTCCTGAAGCTGCTGTGAGGATTCGCTGAGATGATGTACACAAGGCATGAGATATTTAGGAGCAGAATGGGAGAATTGTACCCAGACTCATGCAACCCCTGCATGTCCTCTCCCAGCCTATCTAGTTGACCACAATGTAAAAGAAGGAAGAAATATTGCGGTAATGCTTGTAAAATCCATCCCCCCTATGTCTCTTATCTCCCACCTTGAGGCCTAGCATTTGGTTCCACTCCTCAGCCTCCAGATGTTCTACCCTAGTTCCATTGTCTTCACCTGCTGTTCCCAGTCCTCACCCTAGTACAAGGACTTCAGAGCTTTGTCTGACCTTCCTCAGAAAGCCTGGGCTGTTCACACACAGTAACTGACATAGCGCTTCAGTATAACTGTGCACCAGAGCCCTGGCCCCACTTCTAGGGCAGCCCTGAGCAACTGTGTTCAAGTTCATTTTCCATAGAAAAGCATCACGGTGGGTAAAGTCTTAGCATCTACTTGAGAGCCACTCAAAAGTTCTACACTGAGTTTATTTCCCTTTCTAGTGGACAGCTAGAGCACCAAACAATGAACTTTAAACTGCTGAAAACAGCCCTCCCTTACCTGGGAGTTCCCCTAGTACATCTTTAAACAATGATGATATAACTGGGCATCTTAGTTTACAGAGTATTTTTA